CATTCAAGTGTATATATACCAACATTTCTAAAATGAAAAACCATAAAATACAATAATCGTGGGAAAATCGGATTGCTATGTGAAACACCTATGACTTTTCACCGCAAGTACAGATATATACGTACATATATATATAGTGTCTTGGAAAAGTAAGGGGTTCTCAAAAATCAAGAGAATCTTGACTTGATACTGAAGAGGTAATAAATTTCATGGGCCTAGAAACTGATTCTTCTTTGCCTCGTTGTCTTCGATTCATCGTTTTTTGCTCTCCGCTCTTAAGGTCTTAACTTTCCTTTTTCACCTGTGACAGCGCAATCGTGTTTACTGCACGAAGCTCACCTTCACCTTAGCGCGCTTACTTAATATCAAACGTATATAGTGTATATTCCCGTTAAGTAATGCTGAATAACACGTACGCGCCATTTTGAGCACACTGTGACCAGAAGAAGAAAAAAAAATAATTTTCTAGTTTATGTTAAGCCGAACTTTATAACAAATAAGGTAAATGTTTGGCCTCTTTATATGCGTGATCTATAACCTAAATTTTGAGCTCATAATCGCCTCTTGACCTCAAATTTTCTTCTAATTTTTAGGTTATGTTTTTAAGTTTTTAGCCCAAACCCACCCAGTGGGCAAAAAACCATATATTCATTCCAAAAACGTTTTCAGAACGTTTCATGTCTGACAAAAAATGTTCTAGAACATTATTTGAACATCCATGTTCTTAAAATTTTCCAGAACTTTATTTGGCGGACACGAAGTACGTTTTTAGAACGTACATGGCCTTTTGCCCACTGGGCAGCGGCCTCATAAAATGTTTTCAGGTATTAAAATAAAATGCATTAATTTAATGCCAAATTCAATTAAAATGAGCCAAAGTGCACTAAAATAAGAGCATTGCATTTTATTTCAATACCTCACAATTTTCTGTGCTCTTATTAAAATTTTTTAGTTTAAGTCCTAAATATAGGTTCTTTTTTTTTTTATATCGTGCACCCAAAAAGTCGTGACCTTTAAATTTGTTGTAGGACCTTTACATAGATCTATTATTAATATAATACCGATGGCATTTATTTTAAATACAATCTTAAAAAAAAAAAATTCCACTTATATAAAGTTAAAATGTCCTTGCGCGAGTAACATTGAACCCTATCGTCGATCAGCGGTTGTTAGTATTTATTGTGAATCACCATCTGGCAACAAGTCATCGATATCTTTTAACGATTCGAGTAATTTGCGTAAGAAAAAAAAAGAAAATTACCAATCAAGAAAAAAATATGATTTGAACATTAATTCTTCACGAGTAATTGTGAAGAATCGATTTGATATTAATAACCTTCGGTATATCGTGGAAACTTTATACACACAATTAAACTTGAAAAATAGAAAAATAATCCAACTTTTGGATTCAGATAATGTTTTCTATGAGTTTTTGGGGCCGCTGTCCATTTTAAAACATGTATAGTAAACTGAATACCTTTAAATTATTTTTATTATAAAGGGTTTTGGAGGTTATGTTAAAATCCTGATGTGATATGCGGCAAAATGGACAGCGGATTCAGTATCAGTAATCCCAAAAACGTATAATAAATGTATGACGGTTGGTTTCCATTGTCCCCACTCGTGATGGAGCATTTACACATTCGGCAAAAAAATTTTCTTCACTTTGCATTTTCCGAAATACACTTACCTGATTGGTTGTCCAGAATCTGATTCATTGTAGACAACCAATCAAGTAAGTGTATTTCGGAAAATGCAAAGTGAAGAAAATTTTTTTCCGAAGATGTAAATGCTCCACCATTTGTCATAATTCTTGTCAACTACCGCACCCTGCTCTAGTGAAAATTTATTGACTTTATATAGGAACTTTTAATTTTAACAATAAAGTCACTAAATTTTCACTAGAGCAGGGTGCTGTAGTTAACAAGAATTATGAAAAATGGGGAGTGGAGATTTTGGCAAGTGGGGACAATGAAAGCAACCTGACACTTCTGAATCCCAGGGTTAGATTACTTTTTCCATTTTTGTGTTCTTGTGAAGGTTTTTTTTTGAGAATATATATTAATAATTGAAATTGAAAATTTTTATTTTTGACAAGTACTACCTTGTAGGAAATGAAAAGTCGCATCTTTTTTCTTTTGGCAATTTTTTTGTAAAACACTGTTTGTTATACACCGACAGGTGCTGTCCTCTGGTGATAATACACATTTGTTTAAAGTCTTCGTATTTTACTTTTTGTCGTTGTGAATGTAAATAAATTTTCAATATGTATATTTTTTAAACAAAAATAAATGTTCAAAAATTCTGAATTTTTCGAATTTTGCTATAACTCTATCTGATTACAAAAATGAATCATTTTCAAAATTAAATATGGGAAGTGGCGGACATATTTAAACGATGTAAGTTACCGCACTGTAGAACACCGTTTATTAAAAAAGCAAACCTACAAATTTTATTTAAGATAAACAAGTACAAGTTAAATATATACAAATATAGAAAATTCAAGAGAGAAATTCGTATCATTAAAAAGCTATGCTGTAGGAGTTAACTTATCCAATCTATAATGACCCCAAAGACCTTAAAACTGTGATAACACCTTCACGTACATATTTGTTATCAATAATTTTATCCAGCTTATTCTCGGCCAAGGGAGAATTACTAAGGGTAATTATCAGTAACGGTGCATTTTATTTTTAGCTAATGTATATACGTTAAACAATAATTCTCAGATCATCGGGTCATTACTTTATTCCTTTTCAATTGTTGTTTTCTGATAAGCAACTTGTCATATAAATACATAAATTCTTATAGAAACGAATTAAAAATATATTGCGAATAATTTAAAAATTCTTTATTATATAGATTTATAGAAATAATACAGGGTAGAGTGCCTATTAACATATTATTTCATCATTATGTTAAATATAACATATTTATCTTTACAGAAAAAAATCTGGTTCAATTTGAAACGCACAAAAAATAAAACTTATCTTTTCAATTTGAAACTACACTTCCGGTACTTATTTATTAATTTCTTTTTTTCAGTTATTTATTTTTTACTTCATTTTTAATTTCTTTTTTATAGTTTTAAAAAACAATTATTTAATTATCATTAACTTTGATTAATCGATAAATAATATATGTAAATAAAATGGAATAAATGAATATTGAAAATTATAATATAACGTATATAAATATTAATTAATTAAAAACAAAATAATTTTTTTATTTTATTTACTTATTAAATTCTTAAATTTTTGTAAATATTTGTTGAAATTTTTAAGTAAAATCAAATAACAATCATAATAAGAAATAATTCAAATAAAATAATTAAAAAAAGTAAAATGTACTATATTGATAAGGACATCGGTGCCCTTTTTAGCGCCACTAGCTATTTAGCCAATTTCGAACCTGTCAGTCAGCTGCGAGTCGAGCAGAGTCGAGCGAACGGTATGGATATAGGATAACTTTATGGCAAATTTAATAATTTTTCCAAAAATCGTTTTAAAAACTTTCTACGATGATTCGAAACGGAGTCATCATCTTTTAAGAACGGTCGTATTTTTAATAGCATTTTGGTAAGTGGTCGCACAATTTGACAGGTATAGTGTATAAAATGTATTAAAACGAACGGCAAAGGTAAGATGGACAAGATTCATTTTGAGAATGAGAAAAAGAGGAAAATATTGTGAAATAACGAATAATTTTGTACAAATAATGTAGAAAATATAATAATTGCCAGACGTAAATAACTTATTGTATTTTATTGAAATTAAATAAATAATAATTAATATTCTTTTACTGGCCAATACTACGGCAATCGAAAGGTTATGAAAAAATCTAAAGGAATCATGTCCAGAAATTATTTTTTCGGTTAAGTATAATAAATAAACAAAGTATGGCGTGTCAGCGAAAAACTCAAAACTTTTATCCCCTCCCCTACTGCTAATTTTTTATAAAATTCAAAAATACTTGGCTGATAAATTACCAATATATATAGGATAACTCAAAAAAAAAATTGGGGATAGATTGGATAAAAAATTTTTTTTGCCTGGATTTTTTGATGTGAAATCCATCTTCTTTATAATCAACTGTTTTTCAAAATTTCCCGTGCAGAAATTTTGACCGGGCCCTGGCCAGGGCCAGACCGGGCAAGACCGGGGCCACTTCGGGAAATCTGGCCTGCCCCCGGCCTGGATGAAACAATAAAACCGACCGGGGCCATGGCTCGGGGCCCGATCTGGTTCCCTGCTGGGGACCCGACCGGGGCCATCAAATTTTTCCCGATTTGACCACCATTCAAATGTTGGTGGTTTTGTGGTTTATATTATTTTTTACACTTGTTAAATATAGACATTTTGTTATACATAGCAACAAATATTAAATAACTTACTGCTTAAAAGCAAAATTCCACACAGTCTAAATCTGAATTAGTGAAAATGTCACTAATTTCAATTCGCAGTGGATGAATTTTCTTTCATGAATCAGTGAAATTCAACTGAAGAATTAAAGAAAACTCGTCCAGTGAATGGAAATCAATAAAATTTTTACTGATTTAGATTTAGAGTGTAGCTATTTGAAATATCGGTCAATTTTTACTATTCTCAGATTTTTATTTGAAAATTTTACTATTTCTGCACTTAATTATTTTATGAAAATTTTTTTAATTTAATCGAACGTCGTACAATTTGTTATGAATTGTGATTATTTCCAAAGTAAATTTTTCTAAAGAAATTTTATTGATAAATAGTAAAAGTAATTCTGGAAATAATAATTTTTCATAGTACATTTTATTATTTTGAGAGGAAATTTTACTAAGTCCGAAATTAATCCGAAGCAAATTTTTTTAATTTTTACTTAAATTTAATGCGTTATATAAATAAATTTGAATATAGTAAAATTCATGGAATTTTAAATCTGGAATTTTAAATCAAAAATAGAATTTTAACAAAAATTTGTATTCAGAATTAAGAAATATAGGCTACAGAAGAAGATAATAATTAAATATCAGGGAATAAGCGCCATTTTCGTAACATTGCGTGTATCCTCATATAGCATTCAGCCCCTGAATTATAATAAAATAAATTTTTACTTAATTTGAAGAAATATCTCTTTCAACAATTAATATCCCCCTTTTCACCTAATGTTAATCACTGTGATCTCGCGTTCATTACGTTGAAATTAATTTTTAAAAATATTTTAAGTTTACTTTATTATTAATAATATTTACTTTGGTCTTCAGATTCATTAATTTCGTAGTTTGAATCAATGTCGCCTGGTATGAGACAATCTTCCATATGGGAACTAAGCGAATCATATTGTTGTCCTAGCTGTGAGCTGATATTCTCATTAACATTCGCATCTTCATGATTTGAATCATCTGAAGCTATAAGGCATAGAATTATATTTAACATACATGAAAATAGTTGTTATCATTATTATTATATAAGAAAGAAAGATCATTCTTATAAAACTAATTTCGATCGAGTGATAAATTCATACTTATACATATTATTATTATAACAAATGTGAAAGAATATATAAGAAGTCAGATGTAATAAAAGAATTTTTAACTTAAATTCGAGATTTTTTCAAAGGAATACTACTAGAACATTTGTAAAACTATAAAAATAAAAACAATATTTATAAAGTTAGAATACAAAATCTCTATTTTTAGGTTATTTTTTATTTGGTAATGTAATATCATGTGAATAATATTTTTTACTTACGACTTGATATATTCGGCAGAGATGAAAATTGGGTTGACAGTCGATGTTTCCGTACACGTTTCGTACTTTTGTGTTTTGGCATATTATTCACAGAAATAAATAATTTATGTATCCAAAATAAAACAAAAGTTAGGCCAAGAAGACTAGAAATGGGAGGTACCGTACGAATACGTAAGAAAAAGGGTTTTCTGAAATAGGCAGAGCAATAGAATAAGTTGCAAGTCGCGGTAGCCTTCTGCGCAGACTAACTGTTGACTTACCATCTGGCGGTAATTCAGAATAAAATATTAACACTGATTCTATACGTACGTATACGCTTCGGTAAAATAAATATCTGCTTTTTTATTATCACCTGTTCGTAATATGCGCAGGAGGCTACTGCGTCTTGCAACTTATCCGCCCATTTCAGAAAACCAAATTGTCACGTACCCCCACTACCTAACGTGTACTTCCTGTTTCTATAGCCTTCTTGAGTTCTGCACTCCTCTATAAAAATTTATTTTTACTTATCTTATTATTGGGGCAACCCGGCCTGGCCACGACCGGGGCCACTAACATTTACTGACCCGGGGCCGGACCAGATAATCTGGCCGGGGCCAGGTCGGAAATCGGGAAGAAGGGTGGAAATTTCTGCACGGGTTCTTATACTGTCGGACCTTCCAGCTCATTCTGATTATTTGTATTCAATTTTTCAACGTTACGACTTCACATAAATTGCTGCTGCTGGTATTACTTGTTCTTTTTTTTTGCAGAATGTGACTTTATTGGAGCTGTCATTGTAAAGTTCCCATCTACCATTCAATCTCCTACATCTTGCCATGTAGTGAATCCCATGGTGTGTTATTATTCCTCCTAATTTGAAATGTGAATTATTAATATATTATAATCGAAATCTTAATTGGTTTTCATTTATACTTGAACGTTAACACTGAACATTAACATTTTCTAACATTTTTAGATCAATTATTTTTCTTACAAAGTAAGTCATTTTATGAAATTAGCAGTTAAATATTTAATAAATCGTAATTATGTATGTCCTAATTAAATATTTTTATTTACATTATATGAAAAAATAAATCATACTTTAAAACTGTTTCATGTAAATTTATCTCTAAAGGGAAATCTTCTACTTTGCAGGTAAATGATTCTTTGAGATTATTGGATGCTCTTACGTCTAGTTATATGAACACATGAGCATTAGTAGTTAGGCGAGAAGAAATGCTAAATCCACAATTATGTTTCGGACACGATAGAAGATTTTCTTGCAATTGAGTTATAATTGCATTTTGTAGATTTTCAAACCCTTGTTCTTCTATAATTTTGTGGTTCACAAATACGGAAGGAATTTCTTCTATCTCAAAATGACCACACTTAAAAAAATTTCTGTTATGTTGCAGTAGGTATCTACTGTTTGTTACAAAAATGGCGATTCTTTCAGTTTCGGAATTAACTTAATTTTAGGTATTCAATGAATTTTTTTTGAAGTCTAAAGCCAGCATCTTAATCCATAGACATGATTCACTGCTCCATGTTCAAGGAAAACTAGAATGAATCCCAAGGTTTCATTCGTTGACTCTTCTAGGTGACGGATATATTCTGGACTACCAATTCCAAGGGCAATTAGTATTTGAACAATCGAATCGAATGAACATAAGTTTTTCAACATATATTGTCGTTGATTAATAATGATTGGTGCTGAAAAGAAATTTCCATTTAGTAATAATGGATTTTTTTATGCTTACTTTTGCAGCAGCGACAGCAGCAGTTTGTGTAAGCAGAACTTTTGGACATTTTCTAAAAAATGTTGAAGGTTTTCGATCTTTAGTTGGCAAGAAGCTTTTTTTCGAAATTTTCTTTTCATCGGTGGGCTTTAAGTCTTTAGTAATTAGAGAATTTTTCACTGTAAACATTGGAATTTTTTCTGCCGTCATAGGAACTTTTATGTCAGAGACAATTATTTCTGTGTTACTCACTGAAATTTCCTCACTTGCTTTCTTTTTCCAGTTTTCAACTGCAAACAAATCTTCGTTTACTTTTTCAAATAAATCTGGAGGATGCGATAAAACATTAACTTCAAAATCAATTGCTGTGCATTGATGTTTTGGAAGCAGAGTAACATTCTCGTCAAAACTTTCAATTTCATTAAAATCCATTGATGTAGTGTTGGTTTCTTTAACTGCATGTAAAACTACTTTTTTAAGGGACTTTTTCATTTCAGAATCAAGGTCACATGTCGAATCTTGCATTTGAAGTTCAAAATATTATTTTTTAATTCGGAAAAAGACCCTTCAACATAGCTACTGGTCGGTCTAATATATGGCGAAGAAAAATCTTTTCGATTCACTGCCGTCCACAGCGGAAATTCTTTCGCTAAATAAAAATATTATTATTAATAATAATTATAATAATAATAATATTTTATAATTACTATTATTTTTATTATTTCTTTAACTGCCTTATTACATTTGGCGAAACAGTTCATTCGACAAATAATTTGAAATAAATGGGCAACATCTACTCGAATATAAGTTTTTATTAATCGCTGCTTATTTGTTGCATTTGTTGTCGAAAATTCAAAACATTTTTTAATGTAATCTTTTAAAAGTTATCGTATTAAAAAATAACATCATTGCTCCCAATAATGCTTTTGAATAGTCGCTTACAGCTTCCCTAGGTACGGTTTTAGTATATTTCACCCAATTGAGTAACCAGTAAGCAATATTAATTGTGTCCTGGGCGGATGAGAGCATTTGACCTACACTAAGTGAAATATTACTGAAAGTTATAACAATTTCGTAAAAAAATATTACAGGAGATTTTATGTTGTCTGGCATGTCAATCTTCTTTACTAAGCTACCAGTACCATCAAGGCAAATTGCAGCAGCTTCTGCGAAAAGACGGGAGTATTCTTTATAAAAGAGTATTTGCTCTGGTAAGAGGTACTGTAATTGAAATTTACTCGCCGAAATGTGCCGGATAGTACCACAATAAGTTGTTCTGTTCTGCAGCATTAATAGTATGGTAATGGGACCTGTACCTTCTTTTGGATCAACATTGAGCTCCTTATCTTTTAACTCGTGTAAAAGTTTCCTTAAGACTTCACCTTTATAAAGGTTCAGAGCAGGAATATCACCAATATTCTGCATTTCATTTGCAATTTTACGACGGGTGTTTGCAGCACCATCCCTTAAGACCATTTGACCTATTGCTTGACGTTTTTTAAATCGCAATTGCCGTTTTATTTCTTCATGTGGTTTCAATCTTGTGTCAATACACTTCACTTGAAACCACTCTCTAAATCTGAATTAGTAAAAATGTTTACTAATTTAAATTAGTGACTCACTTTTTGCTTTAGAATTAGTTAAATTTTACTAATTGTTAGTAAAAGTTACTAATAATTAGTAAAAATTTTGTTAATTGAGAAGCAAAAAGTTTTGGCGACAGCAAGGAAGTTGTTCTGACAATTTTTATACATTTTCCAGTGATAGTAATAAATGGTCCATTACTATCCTCTGAATTTTCAGAAACCCTATGGTTTTTAAACGAAAAGGCACATGGCATCCTATACTGTTTCCAAAACTCGTCTGCAATAATATCAGACCACACTACGGATGACAGAGAAGAAACTTCCCTTCCATTATAATTTTTAACAATTGGTTGGATTTTTTTCCAAATTTCATTTTGAATAACAAAGTCGAAAATTTCCTCTCCGTCTAATAATTGAGCGGAAAACAGTGATGAATTATATAAATCTTGATTTTTAGATGTTTCTTTTTGTTCTGAAGATTTTTACGATTCAAATGAACTTACATTCTGAGTGGATTTTTCTACCTCAGGCGTTGTTTTTATATTTAATTTTTCAAAAACCTTGGTCTTCAAATCTCTTCGATTTTCTCTTAAATTTATGTATATATCGTGTCGAGTCCATTTGTTTTCCAATAATTTTCCAACTTCTGTATAAAAATCATTTGTATATGCAGGTAGATTGCCGTCTTTCAAATTATTTCCAAGTTTACAAATTGCTTCAATTGCATCAGATATCTCTACTTTAGCTTTTCGCGGCATCTACGGAAATAGATATAAATAACTATAAATTGTTATGTAAAACTACAAAAAAATTTTTATTCAAATAATTATTAATATAAAAGCATTTCTATTAAGTGACAAAAGAATTTCATTAATATTTTTATTTTTAAGAAATTAATTTTAAATTCATGTTCAAATTTATATTGTTTAATATTTTCTTCTTGATAAAATCGTACATTAAAGAAGTTGTTAATTTTTTAAGATGTAAGATGGATAGTAAAATGTTTTTGGTGACTTGTAGCGTTTTTATGATGTTTCTTTTTGCTGTGTTGGATCTATTTTTTTATATTGTTACATATATATCATAAGTTTTTATAACATATTTTATAACAATATAAACATGTGGGTGATTCTCCTGAAAGGGAATTGTTTTTGCTTGAAATAACGAAAAATAAAATTATACGAGCATCAGTAACATTTTATTTCCATGTGTCTCAAAGATTAAGATTAATCAATTATAACTTTTAAATTAATGTTTTTGTAAAAGAAACTCTTTTTGGAATATGGTCCTTTTTAATAATAAATTGTTTCTTTATATCACATTTCATACTTGTATATATATGAGTCGCCGGAAAGTAAAACCACACATAAAATTCTGACGGCCATGTTACTTCAATGGAAGTCAGAATTTTATGTGTGGTTTTACTTTCCGGCGACTCATATATTTATATTTTTTTTTAATCAATAATTTAATTTGAGGGTTAGATATTTCAAAACAATGATTCAAAAGTTAAAAACAAAACAAGAATTTCTATCAAATATGAAAAAGGCTTCAAAGATGAATTGATATTAATTGATGGAAAGTTCTTTTTTTTAATGTAAAAAATATTACAATCTATCAATATTTTTATGTTCAATCTTCAAATATTTTTACATAGGTTTCATGTTTCGTTTAAAATGTTTTTCTTAAACATGATTTTATTATTTATAGAAAACATGGCTTCGGAGGTGGCACGTGAAATGGTATTAAAAACTAATACCGTATTTTTCTATTGCGGCGCGTTTGTATCAGTTAAGGTGTATCAATTACGGTAATCAAAATTACGTGTATTTTTGAAGATATTTTGCCCGCCGAAATTGGAGCCAATGGAAATATTAAAAATGTTTCAATTACGGCGAGGGAAAAAATTTGATCTCAAATAATTTAATTAATAATTGTTTAAATGTGCATCTTCATTAGTAATTGTATCAAAAAAAGATTAAAATAATTTTTTTAAAATCATTTTGCAACA